ACGGCCGCAACCAATAGAAGTGCTACTCCGTGAGGTGGAACGCTTTCACGACTGTTTGATATTTCGTAGATACTAGAAGAGAAACGGCCCCAACCAATAGAAGTGCTACTCCGTGAGGTGGAACGCTTTCACGACTGTTTGATATTTCGTAGATACTAGAAGAGAAACGGCCCCAACCAATAGAAGTGCCACTCCGTGAGGTGGAGCGCTTCCACGACGACAGTCTGATGAAGCCCGTGGAGCCCGAGGTGCTGAAGATCTTAACCGACAGCACGGAGAAGGGAGGCGACGTCGCGTACTTGAAGGAAAGGAATAAGAAATCTCCGGAAGAGAAGTTGGTTTCTTTTGTACCTATTTACACGACAAGTAGGTACCTACCTACAATAGAAACAATTAGGGACCAAATACGCTACCTTGCGGTACTCCATTATTATAAGGTATCTACATAAATTAATTGCAAATATTTTCAGGGTATATGTTCCGCTCGTGAAACTGAACAACTTTTCTTAACATTTTTTCGTAATGTGAAAAAATATTGGACCTTCCATACAAACTGACACATGTTTTGGACATTTTTGTATGGGAGGTCCAATTTTTATTATTATTTCGAAAAATATTTTACTAAGTAAAGTTTTCAGTTTCACGATAATTGAATAACTTACTAGGGAAAAGATTTCAGTGTTTGTAAGTAAGTTATGTAGACACAGCTGTCTTCCATTAGGTATACCTGAAAAATACAAAATAGTTAATAATCTATACTTGCTTTCCCAGATTCTTCTTCCGGGTAGTGTCAAGCTGGGACTACGGCTGGCAGCAGAAGCAGGCGCGAGTGCCGCCTCGGTCGGAGAACCACGGCCGCTGCGCCATACTCCGCGACACCTTCTACCGCAAGAACAACATAGGCCCAGACCCTGTGCACTACGCGCAGCCGGCCGGCGGACAGTTCTCTATCTGCAGCGAATATTCTTGTATCAATAATTAACCTAATGAATGCAGGGGGATGTGTAGCAGGTTACTTGTGATGTATCTTCGTGTGGGACACCGAGTCGTTCAACGACCCGATGAACCCTGGTGTCCAGTTTTTCAACCGCCTACTTGTGATGTGAACACCTTGCACTGCACACGCCAATCCGTCTTCGTCGACTTCGGTCCTTATTCTATCTGTTTTGTATTCTGTGCTGCAAGTGTAATTTCGACCCAAGTTCTACCTACTATTGTCGTTATGACCCACTTCAACTTCGCCCTGCTTTCAACTCTTAGAATTAAGGAATAGATGACTATAGTGATAACATTTTCAAAAGGTTTCAAAGTAGCAGTAGTATTAAAATGAAAAATACCGTTTATAGCAAAAAACATATATTTTATAATTTTGTTATTTACAATAATTCAACTTTTATTTACATATTAACAACAGCGAAATGTCTCTTTGTTGTAAGATCACATCCAACTGTTTTAAGATAATTATTATAAACAGAAAATGTCTCCACATATTTGATGTTTCGTTTTTACAAAATACACACGAGGTCATGAATGGTTACATGTATGAAGAACTCGATGGAAGCAGTCGATACTTATTCTAAGGCAAATTATTTGAAAATGGCGTCAATTCACGTGAACATATGCATGAAAATGAATTATTTTGACCACAATGGGAAATTTTCTATCTGACAGGTCTCGTCCCTTTTTATAATTTCCTACCGTAAGATGGCGTTGTGCTCTAAGGCGTTGTGTTATAAATATTGATTTGATACTCAACTAAATAAATACATTTCCAATTGGAAATAATTTTTGCTTTCTAGTTTAGCTCAGCGCCATCATTAGACACTTGAAGATTGGTTAATAAATTTCCCATTGATGACATTGTTCACAAGAATCCTTCAATGAAATAAACTTATGCAACTGACAGTTTGCCTCAGCGAAGCATAAGCATAAAATATCGAAATACATAGAAATCAATTTTCATGTATATTTTTCAATTTGACGACGGCCTCAATTCTGTTGAAAACACAACTTATCACTCAAGACACTTTCTTGGAATTGGAATTGAATATTTAACCATTAAAGTGGAGTGAATTTTCCTCAGCCGTTTTATATGGTATGTACTACAATCAATAAACAAAAATAATCTAGGACTATTCTCTGTCTCATTTATCAAAGTGATAGAAATAATTTTGATTTTAGTTGCGAACAAGGAGCTAAATTCTGACAGGAGATCTCTTAGCTAATAATAGTTTCTCATACTAACATCATCACAAATATCATTTTCTCTCCATTCCAGCAGGTCTGTTTCAAAGTATTTCGGTTTCTTTTGTTTTGCCTTTTATACTTAAGGATTGTTGGCAGATCTCATACTTTTCTTTCTTCTTTAAAAAGGACTAAAACAAAACTGCTAAGAGCTAGCTTTGGAGGTTTTCTGTCAGAATCAAGGCCTGCGTATACCAAAATAGATGTCGTATTTTAGGTGCATTATTCCTAATTAAAAACAAACATTTATCAATCCAATCAATCGTTCACTAAAATTAATACAACGTCAACAACCACCACTATTTACTAACAAGTACTACGAAAATTATATTAAAAATAATTAATTAATCAGCTAATTTCAATAAATATGAGAAGTATTTGTTCATTCTCAAGTTCATTTTGACACATTCATATCTTATGTACATTTATTTTAAAATCAGTCAAACCTTTTTCAGAATCAGCGATATTTAAATCTTAGTAGTATTTTGCATATCTGCCCAAAACAAGTAAAGTTTTCATTATGATTCCTATTTTTATTGCATCATTCTTCTGATCTGCAAATTAAGACGTAGTAGGACATGACATGTAGGACGTAATGAAGGATCCTAAACTACCTAGTCTGCTATTTTGTCAAACCATGGAAAAATAAAATCAAAGTTAAGTTAACAATCACAATTAAACCGACTATGGTCAAACGCATGGTGGCGGTGATACCCCCTACAATAGCATTCTCCGAGAAGGTTGCAGGTCATAAAATATTGCCAAATCCTTTTGCTAGGTGATTTTGTGCTCTACAAAACATGTTTCACCGACCCCAACTGATTGGGATATGGGCAGAAAATGAACATGAATCACATTTAAACCGAATTGATCTATACCTGGTTTGAGATTGATACGTTTTCTATGTTTTTAATTTACTCAAATTACCATTTCGCAGGAAAACTCGTCATAATATCAACTTTACGCCCCTTTTCACAGAATGAAACAGGTATCAATGTCATCGATAATTAGAGCCTTATTAGAGCATCGTAGCATACATCAACATCTAAACCTTAACAAATCATTAAACTCAAAGACGCCAATAGTAATATTAATTTTACGCAATCGATATCTGTTTGAATAAGGCTGTAATGTTAAGAAACATTGGTAACTAAAGAAATAAAATGTCCCCACTACAACAGATTGTTTAATCGATCAGATAACTTATTTATTATAACTCAAACTATTTTTTAAATTCAATGCATGAGTGGGGAGCACGGTGAAATAACACACTACGGTATACCCTGTTTTATCGTTTTTGCTAAATTTACTAAAATATAAAAAACATGGCGATATTTTTAGTTGTCTCAGAACACTTCTTGGTATAACATAGCAGTTGAAACAATTTTTGATATCGCCGCGAATTCTTTTAGGAGGCGTATTTAGCAGGGATTTGAGACTTGACGTAGGTATATTGCAATTTTAGGCGACAGGCTGACAACCTATCGCTAATCTTCTGAATGACTCTCAAACCTTTGAGACTCAGGCGAGGTGTAAATGTCCGTTTTGTACAGCTGTTAACGCTATGCCTACCCCGCAAGGGATATATGTATGAATGTAGTATATTTAGCAAAAACAATTTGCGTAAAGCGGGGTATGCCCGTATGCCCTAATGTGAACCACGTCAATATAACAACTGTACTACGTAAACCTACTTTACAATTATAAAATTAGCGATTCATTTACAAAGTCAATCAAGATTCGATATGATTTTATTTATTGTCTACAAAGCAACATTTAATTCAATAAATGCTATTAATTAGAATAGGTACTTTTAAATTGCTCAAACATACGCAGTTTTTAAAAATATTTCAAAGGTGATGAAATAAAAACTTTTAAAACTGAATAAAAATAAAAAAGAAGTAAAAGGAATTATAAAGAAAGACAAAAAGAAATCTGAAAACATTAAGTAAAAAACCGTAGTTTACCCACTGCCCATTGATTTTCTTCCATTGAAAGGATGTGATGCTGATTTTCGAAGTACTAAGAAAACCTATGTTACTTTCCAGACCCCTAGCTCTCTTTTTCCAAAAGCATGCTCATCCGTCGCACAATTTAAAAAATGAATATAAGAATAACGCATCCGTACATGGAATAAGGAAAACCTTGTTGTCATTTCTTGGGAACTACTATACTAAACTTCTGAACGAAAATCATATTTGCACAAGTTATTTTGAGAATCCAACTTTGTGAGAATTCAACATTTTGTTCCGGAAGGGTTTTTTACAAACATACCAATCTACAATCTCAGTTATACTGAACAGGTGTAGAAATTAATGAAAATATTTGTAACCGCTATACTAAACAACTTTTCCCAAGCAACTTTGAAATGAATTGTACCTATTAAACAAGCTATAAATACAAAAAAAGATAGATATCAAGTTTTATTATATGTCGATCTCGGTCTCTCGGGGAAAGTTGTTTACTTTCATGAGGTGGTTTACTCCTAGTATATTCTGCAGTTTTTTACACCTCATACATACAGTACACAACACAATTGAGTTCCCGGTACTCTGCACAGCTTAAAAATAGCAGCCAAGTAAGAAAATGATAATCTGCCACATCCATGAAAAATCATTCATCAAAATTAGGGTTAAATTAACTTTATGAAGGACAAGTCGAAGAAAATCAATGTGAAAATCGTCTATTGGGATTTCTATGCACTCACATTACTATATTATTCTCATAAATAAAAATAAGAAATTGAAAAAATGTCATGCATCGACCGAGGCTCGAACCCGGGCCGCATGGGTCAACGCCCCACCGCTCTTCCATTGAACTATCGATGCACCGATTGATGCTCGCCAAGTTTCAATCTCTTGATGCTTGTCTTCAAGCGACGATCTAGCGACATCTATAGAAAGTATTTACAACTTTATACGAGCCCCGGTCAATGCATGTCATTTTTCTATTTCTTATTTTCATTGGTGTGAAAATAAATTCAGACATTCTTTAGCAACCGCTAATTTCACCCACTGCATCACACACGTAGTAGTTAATGCTTTCCATAATGAACACTCATCTATTCTCAGTGGTTTGTCATTATATTAGATTATGTCTGAAACTAAAACGTACCCAATGGATGTTTTAGTCGCAAGCTCCACAGAGTAGACGTGAGACGTAAGACTTAAGATGGCATCTGTCAAACAAATTATCGTCGGACACGTGAGACGTGCGACATCGCGACTCTTGAAACAGTTCAAGTAGTGTAGCAGAAGGGGGATAGCAGCAGTCTATTTCAAAGCATATTTTCCAGGACGATACTTGTACGGTAACGTGTCCTGGTCAAATCGAATCATTGTGAAGAAGACAGTTCTATGTAAGTATTCTTCCTGACCTTTATTCCTACACACTTTCCTTCAGAGCGCTCTATGTGGTGTGCGTGGTGGGGGTGGGGGGTAAGGCGAGCGGTGTAGCGGGTGGTAGAGGCAGAGCTGGAGGAGGTCCGCTGCTCCAGGATATCAGGGCGTGTTGTGGCAGCTGCGTCGCGCAGAAGTGGTCCTTCAGTAATGCTTGGGAGAAGTTATAGTGCCTTTACTCGTCCTCTATTTCACCGCACTATGTACCACATGTGTCTAACCCCTCTAAATAATAAAGTAACGTTCACCGGTCAAATCGACTCGACTTTTTGTTTCTACCTTCCCAAGTAGTTACAACCTTCTGTGTGTGCGTGGTGAGCCACACATTTGATGTGGGAGGTAAGGCAAGTGGTGTAGCAGATCTGGTCTAAAAGGTAGCGGCAGTCTATTTCAAAGCATATTTTACAGGAAGATACTTGTACGGTAACGTGTCCTGGTCAAATCGAATCATTGTGAAGAAGACAGTTCTATGTAAGTATTCTTCCTAACCTTTATTTCTACGCACTTTCCTTTTCAGCGCTCTATGTGGTGTGCGTGGTGGGGGTGGGGGGTAAGGCGAGCGGTGTAGCGGGTGGTAGCGGCAGGGCCGGGGGGGGTCCGCTGCTCCAGGATATCAGCGCGTGTTGCGGCAGCTGCGTCGCGCAGAAATGGTCCTTCAGTAATGCTTGAGAGAAGTTGCAGTGCATCTGGTAGGCCTCGTTCTCGCGTTCCGTGTCGCCCGCCAGCCGGTATAAGTCTGCGAACAATAAAACTCGTTTAAGATGGTTGTATGTAGGTGGTTGAATTAGCTGGTTGAATAAATTCATTTGTATGTTCATAATTTGTATTATTTGACGAAAATGATAGAAATATATTTAGCTTCTTCCGCACCTATGACGGTAGGTTATGCTGCTGATTGAACCACACGTACGACCGCAACCTAATGCAAATGTACTAGCGATACAACACACCAACACCGCAACCACCGTTTTACACTCTACACGTGTTTCACTCCTCCACGGAGCATCCTCAGGAGATCTTCGACGACGATCGAGTTAATTGAAGATTGAGTTATTGGGTGATTGTTTGTGAGGTTGGATGGTTGTTTGTGTGTGTGTTTCGATGATTGTGAGATTGATTGGTTGTTTGTGAGGTTGGGTGGTAGTTTGTGAGGTTGGGTGGTAGTTTGTGAGGTTGGGTGGTAGTTTGTGAGGTTGGGTGGTAGTTTGTGAGGTTGGGTGGTTGTTTGTGAGGTTGGGTGATAGTTTGTGAGGTTGGGTGGTTGTTTGTGAGGTTGAGTGGTAGTTTGTGAGGTTGGGTGGTAGTTTGTGAGGTTGGGTGGTAGTTTGTGAGGTTGGGTGGTAGTTTGTGAGGTTGGGTGGTAGTTTGTGAGGTTGGGTGGTTGTTTGTGAGGTTGGGTGGTTGTTTGTGAGGTTGGGTGGTAGTTTGTGAGGTTGGGTGGTAGTTTGTGAGGTTGGGTGGTAGTTTGTGAGGTTGGGTGGTAGTTTGTGAGGTTGGGTGGTTGTTTGTGAGGTTGGGTGGTAGTTTGTGAGGTTGGGTGGTAGTTTGTGAGGTTGGGTGGTAGTTTGTGAGGTTGGGTGGTAGTTTGTGAGGTTGGGTGGTTGTTTGTGAGGTTGGGTGATAGTTTGTGAGGTTGGGTGGTTGTTTGTGAGGTTGGGTGGTAATTTGTGAGGTTGGGTAATTGTTTGTGAGGTTGGATAATTGTTTCTGAGGTTGGGTGATTGTGTGTGACGTTTGATGATTGTTTGAGAGATTGGGTGGTAGTACCGTTTAGTGATTGTTAGAGAGAAGAGTGAGTTGATTGTGATGATTGTGAGTTTGGTTACTTGTTTGCAAAGTTAAATGATTTTTTGTAAAGTAAGATGATTGTTTATGAGATTGGATGGTTGTTTGTAAGGTTGAATGATTGTTTGTGAGGTTGTATGATTGTTTATAAGGTGGGATGGTTGTGAGGTTGTATTATTATATGCACTTGCATAATTGTTTATGAGGTGGAATGATTCGGAGAATTTATGGTTTGTCTCTCATGGATGGTTTACTTGTTAGATAGATTACTTATTTATATATTTGTTTATCGGCCTACCTTTAAGTATGGCGGAGGCCCACAGCTGCACATGCACGTCTGGTATGCTGGCGAGCTGCATGGCGGGGGTCACCATGTTCATACTCTCTCGAGAATTGTTTATTGTCCGAAGAGAAACCATGGAGCATGGAGTGAGTAGATTCATTTTTGTGAGGTTGAATGATTGCTTATGAGTTTGGATGATTGTTTATGAGGTTGGAGGATTGTGAGTTTGGATGATTGTAAAGTTGGATGATTGATTGTGAAGTTGGATGATTGTTTATGAGGTTGGATGATTGTTTGTGTGGTTGGGTGGTTATTTGTGAGGTTGGATGATTGTTTGTGAGAATAATTTTATTGTTTCTGATGTCAGCTTCTTAGATTCAGATGTCTAATATTTTTTTTTTATAAACAATGCAAGCATTTGTCCGCAATCTCACCTGATGTTAAGCGACGACGCAGACGATGATGGAACATGCTCGCCCAGATAATGCCTATTCACTCTCGCCTTGTATAATATGTGCGTACCTTTAAGTATGGCGGAGGCCCACAGCTGCACATGCACGTCTGGTATCTTGCTGGCGAGCTGCATGGCGGGGGTCATATGTTCATACTCTTTCTTGAGTTGTTTATTGAAAGGCTGATGTGACCGAGTAAATACCAGGGAGGATGGAGTAGGCGATTCATTTTCGTGAGGTTGAATGATTGATTGTGAAGTTAAATGATTGTTTGTATAGTTACCGCGCGTTCACACTGAAGAGACTTTGGCCGGAGACTTGTTGGCAGTTCCTTTCACACATGTGGAAAAAAAAGTAGCATGTGTGAACGCGATCTTAGATGGTTATATGTGAGGTTGGGTGTTTGTTCTTGAGAATGGATGTTTGTTTGTTAGGTTGGATGATTGTGAGGTTGTATTATTGTATGCGCTTGGAAGAGATGATTTGTTGTACAGTTTATGTATTTATATATTTGTCAATCGGCCTACCTTTAAGTATGGCAGAAGCCCATAACTGCACATGCACGTCTGGTATCTTGCTGGCGAGCTGCATGGCGGGGGTCACCATGTTCATACTCTCTCGAGAATTGTTTATTGAAAGGAAGATGTGCCCGAGTAGTACTAGGGAGCATGAAGTCGATTCATTTTTGTGAGGTTGAATGATTGATTGTGAAGTTAAATGACTGTTTGTATAGTTACCGCGCGTTCACACTGAGGAGACTTTGGCCGGAGACTTATTGGCAGTTCCTTTCACACATGTGGAAAAAAAGTTGCATGTGTGAACGCGATCTTAGATGGTTATTTGTGAGGTTGGATGTTTGTTCCTGATGATGGATGATTGTTTGTGAGGTTGGATGATTGTTTATGAGGTTGGATAATTGTGAGGTTGTATTATTCTATGAGTATGGATGAGATGATTTGTTAGACACTTTTTGTACTTATAGTGTATCGGCCTACCTTTAAGTATGGCGATGGCGGAGGCCCACAGCTGCACATGCACGTCCGGTATCTTGCTGGCGAGCTGCATGGCGGGGGTCACCATGTTCATACCCTCTCTTGAGTTGTTTATTGAAAGGAAGATGTGTCCGAAGAGAAACCATGGAGCATGGAGTGAGTAGATTCATTTTTGTGAGGTTGAATGATTACTTATGAGTTTGGATGATTGTTTATGAGGTTGGAGGATTGTGAGTTTGGATGATTGTGAGGTTGGATGATTGATTGTGAAGTTGGATGATTGTTTATGAGGTTGGATGATTGTTTGTGAGAATAATTTTATTGTTTCTGAGGTCATCTTCTTAGATTCAGATGTCTATTAAATATGTGCGTACCTTTAAGTATGGCGGAGGTCCACAGCTGCACATGCACGTCTGGTATCTTGCTGGCGGGGGTCACCATGTTCATACTCTCACGCGAATTGTTTATTAAAAGAAAAATGTGCCCGAGGAAAACCAATAAAATGGAGTGAGTCAATTAATTTATGTGTTACGAAATACCCTGAGAGGACTGGGGTTGGCAGTTTTAGCTACTACCACACGGCAAATGTAGAATCAATCAATAATTGATTACCTCGAGGTTGAATCAAATTGTTTTTTAGGTGGTTGAATTAAAAAAATATTTAGTTCATAAGCTTATTAATTGTATCATTTGACGGTTGATTTGTTTGTAAGTTTGGATGGTTGTTCGTGAGGTTGGATGGTTATTTGTGAGGTTGATATTTGTTTATAAGGTTGGATGATTGTGAGGTTGTATTATTGTATGCGCTTGGATGAGAACGCGATCTTAGATGGTTATTTGTGAGGTGCAATGTTTGTTAGCGAGGATGGATTTTTGTTTGTAAGGTTGGATGATTGTGAGGTGATTTCTCGTTTGTAG